TATACAAAGTCATCCATACTTTGCTCACACTGTCTTAAGTTTGCCGAAGTGGAAGGGATTTTGGACATTGGACATATACATTTGCTACAATTTATTTTAACACAGACTTACAACAAAGGATGCACAATAAGTTCAGGACTGTAAGATTTAATAACTGTAGCTGCATCAGCTGGGCAGAAGACATGAGAAAGGTCTGCACCCTTTGAAAGAAAGACAGAATTTGTAGGTCATTAAACAAAGTACATGGCATAATTCGGTATTTTCAATATAATAATTACGATATTTCAGAAACAAATCAGATTATAGTATAAACAAAAAGTCCAGTATTGTCTGAATCCAAATCCATCCCAGATAAGTGTGAAGCACACGTCGAAAAACACATCTAGGCTATTTAACAACGTTATAATGTGAATAACTATTCCTATAAACCAACCGTTTTCAAAGCTGATATGGCAGCAAAATAAGGTGCACCAGTATACCTAAACATAAAGGAATATAAGCTTAAGCAAAGCAATATCTTACTTTCGGACGACGATCATTTAGTGAATATGAACTTACTCTTGACTTCCKCCAATCACGCCAACTCGACCAGATTCACCTTTGTGGGAATTCTCWACGAGAGGAGGAATCGTCTTCTTCACTGCATCAAGTAGTTGAACACTTTGTTGGTGGAAACTTTAACACAAATGGATTACAAGTGGCCTGGTGAGCTTCTGACATTCGTAGAATATTTGGAGCTCAAAGTAGCAAGACTACTTTACCTGTCAGAGCGAACAGAACGACCAACTACGCCTAAACAACGATCTTTTTCAGCCATAAAGGTGTTTAATCTACTACTAAATACACAGAGAAACAGACTCCTGGCATAGATTCCTTTATTGAAGGACGATTTKATTCTAAACACTTCCCTCTTCAGAGCCATCAACGCCAGCAATATCAACCAGGCGTYCCTGCGTATAGAGGAGAGAGACTGAAACTACCTTCCGCTGAATTAGTACCACGGGCTCAGTTTAAATGGCGGCCTCCTTGTAACGCATTTTGAAGGTTTTATCTGCTATAATGTCTTAATCTTTGTTTTAGAATGGCTCTTATAGATCCGAACTTTTACACTGGACCTGCGTTAATTATCGGAGATGGTAATTTCTCATTTTCAGCATGTTTAGCGCAATCTRTAGTGGAAGATCTWTTTTCTGMAAAAGTCTTTGCCACTTCTCTTGATACTCRTGAACAACTTCAAGCCAATCTCCTCGCCAAGGAAAACCTTGCTAAATTGTCAAAGCATTCATCGTTTAYTGTGATTCACGGCGTTGATGCYACAAACTTGCAAGCCACTTTTAAAGATCAAATATTTCACAAGATTATTTTCAATTTTCCCCACACCGGTGGGAAACTCAAAATAAGCAAGTGCAGAAATTTGCTGGAAAAGTTTTTCAAATCRGCATGCAAATTMATTGATCCCATCTCAGGGGTAGTGTGTGTCAGTCTTTGTCAAGGACAAGGGGGTACCCCATGTGATCATGYCCAAAGGGATTATGGGAATACCTGGCAAGTTGTCAATCAGGCTGCAAAAGCTGGTATGAAAATAATGTTTATATTTTCCTTATGCTACTATTCTTGGTGTGCAAGTTACGTCATCACAGCCATGTTGGATGAAAATCACAAAGCATTCCTCATTAGTTTCTCTTGTTCATTCATCCAACAWGGCGGCGATARCTTTGTTCTTTATTTCTCAGGGGATTCCTGRTCATGTGGTTGCACACCAAGAATTATGCATTATTTCAATATCCAGTAAGTTTCTGAACCAATACACAATAATATTTATCAAATTGTTTTTATTTTCAAGGTCTTATACTTAATGCCGTCCATCCATTTAGAGAGGTAGACTATCCTGGATAYRCTAGTGCAGGATTTAAAGGCAGACTTAACCAGGGATTCACAGCAGACAAGGGGCTGACATACATGTTTATYCTTGGTAGCCCTGTACARCCAGTCCCAGATTTACTGTAAGTCTAACACATTGAACTCAAATGCTAAAGTCAATGTAATGACCACATGTTTTGAGGTATCAGGCATGTTGGATGGGTAWTGTAGGTGTTGGAGGGATTTTCCAACAATGTACTGTATTTTTTAGTCATTCACTTACTTAGCAGCATACACTCATCTTCAATATAGCTACTAAAAACAAGATTTTGTCAAATTGTAGCTATTTTTAGATTTTATTTTACAGAAATAGTGTGATCAGTCAACTACCACAAAGTGAATTGTTATTTATTATATCAGCAATTAAAGTAATTGTAGTTACTTTTTATCTTACTTTGTGTCTACAGATCTTTCCTTGAAATGCAAAAAGATTCTACAAATTCATGTTTTAAGAACTTGTATCAAATGGACAATCACCCTGTATCTATGGTCAAGAGAAAACTGGAAAGAATCTTCAGCACTGCTGGGTTTGGACATTGTGTAGTAAAGACAGATGTTGGAGGACTTAGCAGTCAGTTGGAGCAYTCATTAAGACTGACRTACTCACCTGGCATATCTTCTCTYTACCATGACGTGWACCAGCTGACCAGAGAACAAAATGGATTTGTTATATCAGGAATTGAATCTGACTTTTCTATTCCTCCATCTGCTGGTTTTCACCCTATTGCTCACTATACAGTGTTAGGCAAATCTTACAACATACAAAYCCCAGATGAGACCATTCATTCTGATCTTGAAGAAGCAGTCAAAACTGTCACTAAATTGTGCTCTGGAGTAASTCTTACAAATGAACAGTCAAACACTTGCAAGAAAGATGACTTGGACTTTCCTAAATGTCAGTTRAATTTATTCAAGCCAGTTGACTATCAGAGATTAAGGGAAAGAAAAAGAGTGTTTCTTGAATGGAGACCTGATGAAGTGTGCTCTCATGATAATCTACAAGGTGCTGTCAGTCAAGCTTGTGGTGTTTGTGAACTTGAGAGGAATTATTTCTCTAAAGATACTAGTATGAGAGTCTTAGACATGCTTCAGGAGTCTACAGTAAGAAAGRTTTATCATAATGACAAGGTTCTGTTCACTTATGGTTTGGTTAAGCAAGATGACTKTAAATGCAAAAAAACATGGATTATCTTAGCTCATGTTGATAACTTGACAATGTCATTATGTGGTATATCAGACATTAGGATGTTATGGTCTAATGATTGGCTATTCTTGCGGCAGTTTGATATACAGAATGAGGTAAGTGTAACAATACTACAGGAATATTTTTCTTGCAATGTTTAATAATAAAATAAAGAAGAACAAAGAAATTAAGTATAGCAATACATGATTATAATATAACAAGATAGTATTGAGCTGTAATGATGGCATATTTCTTTAGGAAATATATTGATTTTCTTTGAGAACAAAAATTCTTTCAAACTGAGCTTGTCTTGAACCAGTCAAGTTAGAATTCCTTCATAAAAATATTGTTGAATGATCAGGTGATTTCTGGTTGAAACTTTGAATTGAAGTTTGATCTTTGGACAGCTATCAAAGTACTGTYTTTTACATTGTACAAAGATATTATTTATTTTAGAGACCACAGGTTTAGTCTGTAGTCTGACAGCTGAAAGCTAAAAATGTATATTTTAAGTTTCCAATCAGAGATTGGTTAATCACCCAAGGTATTTAACAATGGTCGTATATTATAAGTGTATATTATAGACCTAATCGGCTAACACCTWGCTATAAACATTTCCACCCAATTCAAGCCACTCTGGAGTAAGTTTCATTGTTCATTGTATATGTATTTTCATTTCACTTATAGAAACAAAAGTTCTTTTTCCCACAGGATTTGAATTGGGTGATTAGGTCTGATATTGTCTGCCATCATTAATAATTAATACAGATAATWATCCTGACTTTAATATCACTATAAATGAGGTTTGTTTAATTTCAAATCTTCTTTCAGAAAACTCTCCCAACATTCGTCACATTCAGTCTTTTTCCACCTATTTACATTCATGACATWAGCTTTTGTCTGACTGCTGATTCAAGTGAAGTGAAATTCTTCCAAGCTATTCATGAAGTCACAAGGGGTTTAGTMAGTGATGTTTGGTTTAGGGAAAGATATGTTGATAAAAGTAAAAAGCAAGTAAGTTATAACTATCGTATGGTTTATAGTCGTTGTGATGGTCCATTATCACATTTACAGACTGTAGAGATACAGAATTTACTGAGACTCTTTCTAATCAATATGGACTTTAAACTGAGTTAATTTAAGGACATTAAGTTTGTAGATGAACATGTGTTTTTCTCACCTGAATATTTTTAGTTCATGATACTTTCATTACACTAGAGGTCTTATCCTGGCTAGGATCCTTTAGGATCCTGACACAATCCTAAATAGGATCCAATACCAAATATTCCAAATAAAAATAAAGATTCAACAACATACACCAACATGACATGGCAAGGTCACACTATGAAAGTGCTGTGTTTTTTGCACAGTCATACAAAATCCATTCTATGSACTAGTTCCAAAAATGGCAAAGCAATGTTTTTGCTAACAAAAATCTTCTCATGCACTAAGTTTATGTGATTTAGTAAGATTATTTATGACAATGATCTACCATTTTAAAGAACTCTTTTAAGTCATATTGATCTTAGACAACACTATTATAACAACATATTTCTCAGTCTTTCTGCTATTTCTATGTTTTTATCYAAACCTGTTTCCTCAAGAACTTCAATAAATGGTTGAATTCCATTCTGTTTTTGATCAAGAATGACTATTAATTCACCACTTYTTGATTTATCATTTGGATGACGGAAAAGGTTAATTTGTTCTTGATCATTCAGGACTTCACGATCTGCTAATTTGGTGATCACTTGGTTGACAACTTCCATATTTGCGATGATAAAAGTACGATTATCTTGTAGTATTTGACTTGCTGAAACCACAAGGAGAAAATTATGAATATTCTTYATTTTTGTAGTTCATGACTTGGGTTTTGCTAAGTAGCATAGTTAAGTCRATAAAAAGATAGAAATGAATGAATGGAATTTGATTTGAAGAGTTGAAACAAAGCTATGAATTATGCTTTCACTAATTGAACAAGAACAAATAGTATTGGTAATAATATTGTATTACCTGATTGTGAAGGATCAACATTTCTGTTGTCAGCCTAGTACAATAGAT